TTTACTAGTCTTCTGCACCAACAGCACTGATCTACCAAAAGCCCAAGTGACAGTTGACTTTCAGTTCCACGTTAGGAATAGGATTAGGCCTAGCATTCAGCCTATTTGTTGAGTTGTACTCGCATAAATAGTTCAAGTGCAAGTTTGGTTCCTTTCTCCAATATATCAGCCTTTGGGCTAATACATTTTTATTTTCAGTGCCAAAAAGAGAACCTAATGACGAAGAATGTGTCAAAAACGTTAAGAGCAGTTGGCCTCCACAGGAAGAATCAACTTGCAATGAAGATCACAGGTAATTTTATTTTATTTTTGTTTTAAATGTTAAAAAGTGGTTGTAATTAAGTACAATTTTGTAGCCATCATCAATGTTTCTGATATTGTTGCATGTTTATATTTAGGGATCAGTCTAAACTCTCGAGTTTAAGATAAATTAGCCCAGTCAATGAGGGTTTTGTGTCGTTGCCCCTCTTTTTTTTTTTAAAGAGGTTGGCGGCCTCTTTTGACCTTGCATTTGCCCGTCCACATAGACTAACCGCCCGTGCGTGGAACGTTTACAGCAAAGCAAGGAGTGAGCCGGTGAGGTGAACTGTACTGATAAATTTTAGTGGCGGTGACCAGGATCCGAACCCACGACATCGCTGTCGTGGGCCCGAAGTCCGAGACGCTACCGACCAAGCCACCGACTTACTAAATTAGGTGAAAGTTGAATTTTTGTAGGATGTTAGTAAACAAAGTAGACAGTAAAAAATTTCAAAGTCCCCACCCCTCTTGGTTTCTCTCCCCAACCCACTCCCAAACATTGCAAGAGCAGTACAGTAGACACTACTTTGGATAAATACTCGTAACTCAAAAGTTACAGACGAGATTCTTTTTTTGTATATTACACCTAACAATATGGCGAACAATTTATGTTGGATAATAGTTCTTTTGTATATAGCATAGTTTAACCGTAGGCCTAATACTGATATACATACAAAAAAATACTCTGCTAGTCTGCTAATTACAAAAACTTTCTTTAACCAATTATATCTTTTTATAGTTTCACTGTAGGAAGAAACATTTTGACCAAACCTACAGATAATCTAATTAGCTTTAAAATCAATACTTACGTAAATAACAATACTTATCGTTAAAATTATGGCTTCATAGAGAGCAATGAAAAAGTAGAATACCGCACCTCGCCGCACCTGCGCTACTCCTAGCCCTGCCCTTGCTGCCGTTGACACTCGCCGCTAAGTTGCACTGTACTTGTATCTCGTATTTGTGTACTCGTATCCGTAAATTTGAGTTATTTAATGCAGCAATTTAATAATTTTTCACTTCAACTTTCAATAAGAAAATAGAGATTTAGCTTACTTGTATCACTGATAAATCACACACATAAACATTTCACTGTCTAGTAGGTTCTGTGGTTTAGTTTAGAAATCTTAGTTTTGTGATTCATTTAATGCAAGATATGGTTTCTTAATGGTTATAGCTTCTATATGGTTTCTTGTTTCTTGCACAATGAATAATATGTTTACTAATTTTCTTTTTAAGTCGTTTATTGTAACCTCTTTAGACCTAACTTTGATAGACTTAAAACTTCCCTATGTTCTAACCATATCCTTCCTGTATAACATTTCACTGAACGATTTTCCCAACGTATTTTTATTGCTTCCAAGCCAACTTATGTTTCATCACAATTGTAATAGGAGTCGCATACCAGCCCGGTTGAAAATAATATTAATTCACTAGTTCTGCAATCGAAAGGATTATGCTGACAACCAGTCTTTGAACTTTGACAAATCCTGCAAGTTGATTTACGGCTTTCTCTCAATTCTCCATGCTGCTCATGGGCATTAGTTTAATCATAGACAAAAAGAATTAAATATAGACTGTCAGCTGTGCTGCGATTACCATAGGTTCTGGCGCACACCGCTGGGAGCGCCATATAGTTATGTCTTTAGCGCTACTTAACTACATGGCGCTCCCAGCGGTGTGTGCCAAAACCTATGGTAACCATAGTAACGGCAGCACGGCTGACAGTTTATATTTAATTCTTTTTGTATATGGTTTAATCCAAGAAAGCTTCTAAACGCTTCACTAATCCATAAGAATGAAGGAGCTCCTAGTATCCATTTATTTAAGGTGCTCTCAGTTTTTCCTTTGCTTTTAGTTAGAACTCCTATTGATTTTAACAATTCAATCAATGCCAGATCTATATACAATATGTCACTCCAATTTCCAGACCAGAACTCATCTTACTGTTTTATTGTTTTTTTTACAGGGAACCTATTACAGAGAAAGTCAAGGATGAAAATCAACATATGTCACAAGTAAGTAATTTGCCTGTTCTCTAGACCGTACTATTTTGCCAAAAAACCAAGATCACCAAGAAAAATGGGTGTGTGTTTTGTTATCATACCAAAAGCTATGGTTCCACAGGATGCGGAATCTCCGCCATGCGGTGCGTAATTTTTCGCAGCGGAAAATTACGCAGCGAAAAATCAGAGGGGTGGTTCTACAGACTGCGAAAATAACGTTGCGGAGATTCAGTTCTGTCCAAACTAGCGACGAGTATGAATAGAAAGAGGAAAGCCCTTTTAACTTTGATGCTATATGATGACATTGATGATGATGTTGTCGATCTTTTATCTTTGTTAGTGTCAAGTCGCAGTGACCGAAGTGACATATTTAAGAATCGGGACAGTGAAGAGGCGTATAACATTCTGGTTCGTAATAATTTAGTTTACAACGAAACTAAGTACTTCCGTGTGTCAAAAGACCAATTTTTCTTTTTGGTTGATCTCATCAAAGATGACTTACCCACCAACGCTACTAATCGAGACAAACAACCATTGAATGCCGAGATGAAACTAGCGGTTACACTAGGGTATGTACCAATACTTAATATTTTTGCTATTTATTTAACGAAACTTAAGGGGTTCCAATCACGATCAGATCCCGTTCAACACTTGATACCCAACCGTCTCAGGATATTATAACGTATTATAATGATTTATTTAAGCAGTTAGTTTGTTGAAAGTCGGTGTTGCGGTTATAGGTATTACTTATAATTGGCTCAAATGTTGTGTATAGGTAAACGTGACCTAAAAAAACCATTACTTTTATCATTGAATGTATTCTGGTGTGATTGTGTGCATACGTCTTGGCTAATTTCTCAGAAATCCACTGACATGCGATTTCCACATCATGTTGAGACACCAACTCGACAAGTTCTTCCTCTTTGGTCGAAGAAAAACGTTCATCCATAACTCTTTTTACAGCACAAGACATAATGAAACTGACGGTCACAATATTTGATGGCTCTTCTCCGCTGGCGGAATCCGCACTGCTACTGCTCTCAGACCAGTATGATTTCTCCGCCATGCGGAACGGAAATTTCGGGATGCGGAATCGCAAGTCAGTGGAACCGCACACATGGGAACTCCATTAAACCAGTGTCGTTTTAATTCCGCAGCGGAAAAAATCGCACCGCACGGCGGAGATTCCGCATCCTTTGGAACCAGGCCTAAAACATGAACCTAAACTATATAATTTACTGTTGTAGACAATTTTTAGTTCCAAACGATCCTCATTATACTTATTTCCGTTCAATGGTATAGTGAGCGGGAACGTTTGTTTACACTCTGCTTTTCCCAAAAACACCTAAATATTTCTCGGTAATCTGTTTTTATTTTTTTTGTTTTTTTAGACCATTGGCAGCTTCTTGGACTTAAAAATTTATGACTACACCACTGCTTCCATTAGGTATATTTACCAATTGTTTATTGAATAGTATACAGGGTTTCCCACAAAGAGGTTAAAGATGTTTAATTTTATATTCCTAGACAGAAGTAAATAAGTAAGTCCAGTATGTACCAAAAGCTTAAAGACCTTACAACATTTTTAAAAATAGGTTATGAAAACACTTCATGTGAAAATTTCAGCTTCCTGTCAGGTAGAAACAATATAGGTAGCAAATTGAACATTTTACTGATTTGCTACCTTATGGCTACCTTATTTGTTTAGGCCCTCTGTGTTGGCATTTATCGTTAAACAGTGGTTTGTTTGAACAATATTTTTTGAGCCATAATGTTATAACACTTTAAATACTACCTATTAAAAGTCTACTCAAAGGCTTTTGAAGAATAAACAAATATTATATTCATACCATTAAATAATATTGGTTGGTGTCTAAGTATCTACAAAGATCATTATGTACAATATGTACATATAATATATATATAATGTATATTCTAACCATTTCATATCTTGAAAATTACAAAAATCTAATGATATCAGGATTTTAACATCTTGGTGGATGATCTTCTGAAAGACAGCGCAAACCCTAACAGTGATGTGAAAGTCAAATCTGAGCAGGACACAGAGGAACCTGAAGAAAATTTTCAAGACTTAGTAGAGTCCAGGGTTGCTGAGCCTAATCCATCCGATTATGAGATTTCTACACCTCAGGTCAGTTTCAAATGAGCTGATTTTTTATTTAATCTGCTGGACTATAGTCAGTGTATTTCCAGACTAAAAAGTGATGCTCATGTGTTGGACCTGGGCTACAGATTTCTTTAAATCTTTAAATGATTGATCACATTTTTGACATGCCTTGATGAACAGATGCTTCCTGCCATTTGTTGTCAAATATTTTACTTATTGTTCTCATATGCTTATGAACAGATTGTAAAATGAATTCTAATAATAAAAAAATATTTGAAAACAATATTGTATTTAGAATGAAATCAGTCATAAAAACTGTTTGCAGATTTGTTGGCAACTAGTGATGTTGAATCCCAAACTAAATCCTAACATCTAATCCCACAAATCCAAGTGCAGTTTAAAAAAATAATGTAATCTAGCATGAAAATGTACATGTTCATCGTCCGATCGGCAACAGCGAAATGAAATTAATACTACTTTATCGCCAAGAAACATTTGACAAATCCAGCAGAGCACACTTTCCACATTTCACCTGTTATTTAAATAATAAAATATAATTTTTCCAGGAGACTGTTGAATCTGAAAGTGACAGTAGCGAGAGTCATTCTCCAAAGAGAAAAAGAAGAAATACCACAAGTAAGACCTTGCCAGTAGTAGCAGCCACATCAAATGAGATTCAAACACTATCTTCAGATTCAGACTCAGAAGAGGTAAGACATCATGTTGAGTTGTCATAAAGTCCATTTCAGTTAGTTTATAATAATGTTTGGACTCAACCCTTTTCAGATTAGTTTTTTATGTCAGCTAAAAAGTCAAAATCTATACTACACTGGAACCTTGATAAGAAGACTCTCGATAACAACAAGTCACTCTTAAAAACAAGTGGCATTTTCAAATCTCCTTAGTTTTATTTTACCCCTAATCACATGCTATTACACACCTTGATAAGAAGTCAACCTTGACAAATGGTTTTATTTTACAATCCCCATGTGAGTCTTGTTATCAAGGTTCTACTGTTTTATAAAATTGAGGTGTTGTCTGCCTGTGTGGCCCTCGCGACCAAAGTACTAAATTGATATACCCAAAATTAATCACAAAGATGGTCCACATATTTAGGAATGTTTTAGGCTTATAAACTTTGAACTTTGATATTGTAGGCTATTAATAGCTGCCTGTAGAAAAGGAGTAGTAGCATTTTAGTGAGTATTAATTTGGTGTAGTGTGCATTTATAACTAGAGGTCGCCCCATGGTCGCAAATTCGACCAAAAATATGTGTTGTGCAAACTTCTCTATTACCATATTGTAAATAAAACATGTGATTGGAATTTCTTCCATTCGTTTTAATTTTCTGTTTAAATATTTCGTCATTAGCATGGCAATCCATAAGCCCATGCACATTTTTTCTAAATTTTTTGAGCGGAGCGAGCGAAGCTCTTAAACGTCGACTTTTATGCATTTCGTAATACGCAAACTCCTCCTAGACGGCTGAATCAATCGTTTTCAAATTTTGGATGGTGATAAAGACCATATCGGTGAGTGCCAACATCTATATGGCGTTAAAAATAACTCTCAGGAATCCGCCCCACTGGGTCTCAAAGTTTCAATGTAATCCTTATGGAAGCAGTATTTGACACATAAACAAAGACATATGATCAGCTGTTGACTTTGAATGCAGTAGATAAAGAAATAACTGATAGCATTATTCCATAGATATTAGAACAGAAACGGTATGAATCATAAATATAATCAAATGACGACACTAGCTTGAGGTCCGTGACGTAGGAAGTGGTAAAGGAAGTACTAAAGGTGAGCAGTCTGGAGTGTGGAAACTGTTTATGACGATTAGATTTAGGTATCTGCATTCCAAAAACTATAAGGGAAGGGAGGAAAACGGGTCCGCGACGTAGGAAGTGATGAAGGAAGTAGTCAAGGCGAGCTGTCCGGAGTGTGGAATCTGCTTATGACCATTATATAAAGGTATTTGAAATCCTATGATGCTATGGGAAGGGAGGAAAACAGGTCCGTGGCGTAAGAAGTGACAAAGAAAGTAGTAAAGGCGAGCAGTCCGGAGTTTGGGAACTGTTTATGACGATTAGATTAAGGTATCTGCAATCATAAAATGCTATGGGAAGGGAGGTAAACAGGTCCGTGACGTAGTAAGTAGTGAAGGAAGTAGTAAATGCGAGCAGTCCAGAGTGTGGGAACTGTTTATGACCATTAGATTAAGGTATTTGCAATCCTATGATGCTATGGGAAGGGAGGGAAACAGGTCCGCGACGTAGGAAGTGGTGAAGGAAGTATTAAAGAAGAGCAGTCCGGAGTGTGGGAACTGTTTATGACAATTAGAATAAGGTATCTGCAATCATAAAATGCTATGGGAAGGGAGGAAAACGGGTCCGCGACGTAGGAAATGATGAAGAAAGTAGTCAAGGCGAGCTGTCCGGAGTGTGGGAACTGTTTATGACAATTAGATTAAGGTATCTGCAATCATAAAATGCTGTGGGAAGGGAGGAAAACAGGTCCACGACGAAGGAAGTGGTGAAGGAAGTAGTCATGGCAAGCTGTCCGGAGTGTGGGAAGTGTTAATGACGATTAGATCAAGGTATCTGCAATCCTTAAATGCTATGGGAAGGGAGGTAAACAGGTCCGTGACGTAGGAAGTAGTGAAGAAAGTAGTAAAGGCGAACAGTCTGAAGTGTAGGAACTTTTCATGACGATTAGATTAAGATTATCAACAAACATAAAATGCTATGGGAAGGGAGGAAAACGGGTCCGTGACGTAGGAATGATGAAGGAAGTAGTCAAGGTGAGCTGTCCGGAGTGTGGGAACTGTTTATGACGATTAGATTAAGGCATCTGCAATCATAAAATGCGATGGAAAGGGAGGGAAACAGGTCCGTGGCGTAGGAAGTGGCGAAGGAAGTAGTCAAGGCAAGCTGTCCGGAGTGTGGGAACTGTTTATGACGATTAGAATAAGGTATCTGCAATCATAAAATTCTATGGGAAGGGAAGAAAACGGGTCCACGACGTAGGAATGATGAAGGAAGTAGTCAAGGCGAGCTGTCCGGAGTGTGGGAACTGTTTATGACGATTAGATTAAGGTATCTGCAATTATAAAATACTGTGGGAAGGGAGAAAAACAGGTCCACGATGTTGGAAGTAATGAAGGAAGTAGTCAAGGCAAGCTGTCCGGAGTGTGGGAACTGTTTATGACGATTATATCAAGGTATCTGCAATCCTAATATGCTATGGGAAGGGAGGTAAACAGGTCCATGACGTAGGAAGTGGTAAAGGAAGTAGTAAATGCGAGCAGTCTGGAGTGTGGGAACTGTTTATGACGATTACATTATGGGATCTGCAATCCTAAAATGCAATGGGAACGGAGAGAAAAGGTCCGAGACGTACGAAGTGGTGAAGGAAGTAGTCAAGGTGAGCTGTCCGGAGAGTGGGATCTGTTTATGACGATTAGATTAAGGTATCTACAATCTTAAAATTCTATGGGAGGAGAGGGAAACATGTCCGCGACGTAAGAAGAGATGAAGGAAGTAGTAAGGTGAGCAGTGTGGAGTGTGGGAACTGGAAACCGTTTGTAGCGGTTAGATTAATGTATCTGCAATGCTGAAATGCTATGAGAAGGGATGGAAGCATCCCGACGACATAGAAAATGGTGAAAGAAGTAGTAAAGGCTAGCAGTGCGGAGTGTGGGGAATGTTTGTGGCAATTATATTAATGTATCTAAAATACTAAATTGCTATGGAAAGTGATGAAAACAGGTCCACGATGTAGGAAATTGCTTAGAAAGTAGTAAAGTATGAGCATAGTGTGAAAACCGTCTATGGCAGTTAGATTGATGTATCTTTAATCCAAAAATGCTATGAGAAGGGAAGGAAACAAGTCTATGACGTAGGCAATGGTGAAGGAAGTAGTAAGGCTTGCAGTGCAGAGTGTGGGAACTGTCTTTGGCAATTACATTAATGTATCTGTAATCCTAAAATGCTATGGGAAGAGAGGGAAATAGGTCCACGACGTAGGTGGTGGTGAAGGAAGTAGTAAAGGTGAGCGTGTTGAGTGTGGGAATGGATTAATGTATCTGCAATGCTAAAACACAATGGGAAGAGACTGTAGACTAGGTCAAAATAATTACGAAGCACGAATCGATACATATTTCGATACATGCAATCGTTTATAATAGTAATTTACAACTGAGTTGACAACAGCAGATTTTTACTCCATAGAGGATAAAAACTATTTTTATTTCCTAAAGAGTAAAAATGCTACTTCAGGCCCGCAACGCATGCATTAAAAACGACTGGTATTACTGCAGTATGACCAAAACAATATAATATAAACCCTTGATGACTCCGCTCAATTTTGTGGATGCCTCTGCGAACACCACCTAGTAATTCCTTTTTTTGTGATTATTTTGAGCTATTTTAATTTATAAAGGAATTCTCTACATCTACAGGAAAATATCTTTCTAAACAGTATGCGTAGAATTTCCCTGCAATGCACACGAGCTGAGAAAAAAGGTTTTCAAGAATCAAGCTTGCCTAATAATACAATAAAGGATATCAGGACTTAAAAACCTTGATCACGGCAATCGCCATCATTGTCTCCTGTGAGCAGGGCAAGATCAACATCTCCCGCGATGGGGAAGACATCATCATCATATCTTCCGATTGTGGCAAATTTATGAACATCCACCTCCACCTCGTTTGTAAAGACATCATAATCATCTCCTGCGATTGCAGCAACATTTTGAACCTCCTTTGTGATTACAGGGAAATTATTGCAAAGCAACTGATAAACCAAAACCTATATTGTACATGCATTCTCGGTAAACTGACAACCAAATTTTGAAATCAAAATAAACATCCCTACTTTTAGGTAAATGGTCCTGTCCAAAGAACAGCTGGTCTTAGTCAGCAACAATGTGACACAACGCTTCTCACTCACTCCATTCTACACTCGACATCCTTATGTATAGTTGGGTTAAAATACGCTCAGTTTGGTCCAAAGCTTAACTATTGGATGGATCATCATGGTATAACAGTATTATATTTTTCTTGTCTAAATCAAGTAAGAAATATAATATAAGTACAGGGTTTGATTACAGTTAGTCGTTGGGGATTAGGCTTGGAGAAGAAATTCAGAGGAGGCATAGGGGTTTGGCTCATATGTGGCTATGGCCACTATATCACTACCTATCTCAACTATGTATATAGATTGGTCTGTGGTTAAAGTTTCCATGGGTTATCTGACTTTGCTCTTTTTTTAGCGAATTTTCCAATTTCCCATATAGGGAATAAGCTATTGCCGTAGGTCTTATAGTAACCCCGGGACCGATTTACTTTTTTGTTTTGATCTTACCAGAGGCAAAAAACACCATCCGTTCAAATTAATATATATATACACACAAGTTGTTCTGCCCGTGCCTCGCCAAGAATGGTGATGAAGATATGCTGATTTTTCCCTGCTGGAGGATTAAGCGCTTATTCTTGATGTAAATCAATTTTTAATGTCCATGTTACAAAGAAAAATACTTTACCGATGTGTTTCTTTCCCAGTTGAAAGACATAAGGCCGGTTTCATGCACCGCAACAATCGCACAATATCTAGCGGCTGACACTTTTTTGTCGCGTAAAATCACTTTCGAGTGGTGAGGGAATTAAAAAGCTCAGAGTTCAGTCAGTGTTGTGCTGTAGGAAT